TAGGTTAAAATTTACAAATTTTACAAGTTTGAAATATGAAGAGTTAGTATTGAATACCTAGTATCATTGATTATAGAATTCCTAGTCTATTATCAATGCTATTATTTAAGTCAAAATATCTAAGGATTTGCATAATTTTGTTAATTGTAAAATGTTATATTTTTACCTCGACCCTCCCCTCCTCCCCGAAAAAGAAATCCTGTGTGCGCCACTGCTAAACGTTGATGACAACTTTATGATAAATATTAAGAGTTGTTGAGTGCTTATTTTTTTAATTGTTGAAAAAGGTCAAATTATCAAATTAATGATTATGAAAATCTACAAACAATTGGTACATTTCTTAATTTTTTTTCTTAATAAAATTTTCTGGTAATCTTTTTAAGAATAAATAATTTTTATTTGAAGGTTATGTTTTTATTTCATTTTAAACAAATTATGGGTAAAAATTATAAAAAATAGTATTACCAGCTATCAATTTCATACAGTTGGCAGTTTTTTTTCAATCTTAACCCAAAGTAGCATAAAACACTTAATTTTACAAAGTTATATTGCCACTAAGTAACCAAAAAGTGAACTAATGGTTTTCTGAATCCCATATTTTTATTGATCATAAAAAAATTAATACAATATTATCAGGTATTTAGATTGTAATGAAAGCATATAATTTATAGAAAATCTAGAGTTTGAAAAAGCCAATACAGATTATATTATGAACATTAAATAAATTAAGAAATTATGGCTTACAAAAAATATTTATTTTTAGGAATTCCTTGAATTTAAAAAAGAATAATTTATGCATTAATGGCTCAATAGATGATTAATTTGAAATTAATTCTTTTAATACATCGAAAACCAGGTATTAAAAGAATGAAACTTAATAGTAATTTTACGTTTGACTTGAATGTGACAAACATATGTATTTTAGATGATCAAATATATTGTAGTCGAAGAAATGATTAACTTAATATTCTATTTAGTTGATATAAAACAAGTTCAGTCTTAACATTAAGACAATACTAAATTAAGTAGTGTTTGATAATACATTTTTAATCTTAAAATTATGTAGTGCTTATACTTCACAACTCACATTAAGAATTAATATTATATTTATGTTATGATTTGATTTTAATAAAAAAACTAACAATATTTTTTTTACAGTTTTTTATATTTAATAAAATAATTATTATACAAAAACATTCTTATTCATCTCCCTTTGTTACCCTTGTATATATTACTTGGGCATGGTGTTGTATTACTTGTTTGATAAGACCTGAAGAAAAATGATACGATATTAAAAAGTTCAATTGTATATTGTTAACATTATAACAAAATTTTAATTATTTACCTTTTTGGCGGAGCTCATCCAAAGCTTTTCTTGCTAATGATCCACGAACCTTCAAACGTTCACTAACAACAGATGGGGTAATAAGTTTGTACGATGGAACTTCTTTCAGTAATTTGTCATAAGATGCTTTGTCGAACAATACTTGATTATTCAACTTATCACGAACCTTTCCTTTGGACCACTTCTACTCAAAAATACATGTCAAACATTAATATAACCTAAATTATGTTTATATATTTGTAGAAAGTTAACCTTCTTTTTGGCTTTGCCACCAGATCCTCCTTCTTTTTTCTTTTGGGTTTTTTGGGGCTGCTTGGACGAGCCCTTTGCGTCTTTCTTAGGCGGCTAAACGATATACAAATAAAACATATTGTTAGCTAAGAGACCAAATCTTACAATAAAAATGTCATTCTCACATCATTAAATTACATTTTAAGATGTACCAGAAATATACATGAATTTAGACGATTAAACACATAAATAAGGGATTACAGAAATACTAAGACCGACAATAAAAATAATATATGTGATGTACGAAAAACAAATTATCACGTCGGCAATCGAATACATGGCAGTCACATGGTTTAAGGCGAATTTGAAATCTGTTGTTCGTCATTGAATGAGAAGGTACATTTAACGCTTAATATTATAAAAAGGTACTAATAATAAACCTAAAATAATAATTACTTACCATATTTCCTTAGTGTAACCCTAAAAAAAATTGAATCTCAAATACACACACCAACAATGCTCAATTTTACTCAAAAAGAAGCAAAAACAAGTGACGGACGATGTATGAGAGAGACAGACAGGCTTTACAGTGTGTGCAGCTGTACATCGATCAGTGTCGCGGAAAGATGAACAGCAGATGTTTGCTTGGCCATCAATTCTCTATCAAGCTACACTGTTAAATGCTTATCTTTGTCCTAGCAGCAGATGTTTTAAAATGTAATTTCTTATCATATTTAATATAATTCTAATTACATTTTTATTTTTCGGAATGTTAATTCAAAAACTTTCGATTCAGATTGTATGATTTAAATTATAAATTGCGTGTAAACATGGCAGTGCACGTGTTTAACAACAATGTGAAGGTTTTTAGTAAGTGTGAACAAAAATGTAATTTGTGTCAAATGTGTGTAATACATGTTAATTAACAGGAAACCGAACTTTGTCATTGGTTGTATCTTCAAACTACAGCACCGAATCATCAGAACCCCATGTTATTAAGAACCCAGCGTTGTCACAATTGAAAAGAGGTACCGGTGGTCGTTCTAGTTTCAATGGTGTGGTTGCTACTGTTTTTGGAGCCACCGGTTTCTTAGGTGGCTATCTTATTAATAAAATGGGAAAAATTGGAACCCAGGTAATTATAATTTCTTGTTAGCCATAGATGTTGTAATTTTTTATTCATATGATATGATTAAACAGATGATTATTCCATATCGAGGAGATGCTTATTTTACTAGAGAATTGAAACTTACTGGTGACTTGGGCCAAGTGCTTTTCCAACCATATCACTTGCAGGATGAAGAATCTATCAGGAAAGCAGTTAAATATTCGAATGTGGTCATTAATTTAGTAGGACGGGATTGGGAGACAAAAAATTTTAAATTTAATGATGTCCATGTTGAAGGAGCTAGACGTATAGCAAGGATTAGTCGTGAGATGGGCGTTGAACGGTTTATTCATCTGTCTGCTCTTAATATTGATCCTCTACCTGCTGTAAGTTATATAGTTTATAAACTTCTTAGTATACTGCCAAAACTTTCTCTAGATCAATATAATTATAACATAAGCATATTGACTTTATTTTTATATTAAGATTTGTCTTTAATATTTATAATTAAATGCATTTTCTGTAGGTTGGTTTATAATTTTATTTACTCTTGTAATAATGTAAGGATAGATAATATAATAATTTGTTAAGTTTAACAGTCATTTAATTTATTTAATTATTTTGTATATTAGTATTTGAAATGAAATGTTTAAGATTAAAATAATTCCAAAGTTGAAAATAAATAGCTTAAATATATACTGAAGCAGGGGCGAGTCCTTACTTGTGACTCTTTAACATGCAATTTGTGGTTTTTTGGAAAATGTATCAATATTGATACCCGTAAAATATAAATTATATTATACGCTATTATTAGTGCTTGGAAATTATAGGAGTTACATATTGTTCTGTATGCACTTAATTTATAGAAATCCGAGCTATACAGTTTAAAAATTGAAAATTAAAAATGCATATTTCATTAATTTTAGAGAAAAAGTGCATATTTTGTCGATTTTCATTGATTTTCGCATATTTGTATGCATATTTAATGTTTTCTAAAAAAATTAATTTTTTTCATTTTTAACCGATTTATTTTAAATAATTTTACATAACACAATGCTATTAATGTGGAAACCGTGCATCATATAAAACTCAATATTATTTTTCTTGGTTATTTATTGTTATTTTTTAATGTCTACTATGAATTTTTACAAAAATATTGATATTTCAATGCAATCATTTAACAGGTATTATACAACATATATTTATTTCGTATTTCACAAATAATGAAAATATATTTGTTTAACTATGTTATGAGTTCAATAAAAACTCAAGCGCCAAATGATTATGCGCCATATTTTAGTTTTCATTAATATAATTTATTTAACTATAAGATTTTAAAATTTACTAATTAACTTTTAATAAATAAATAAATAAATAAATATTTTTTTTGCAAAAATCACATTTTTTCATGTATATTTTATTATTTTTTCATGCATATTTTGCCTTTTTTGGCTTCTATAACTTCCGAACCTTAGTTATTATAATGATATTATTTCTGAATTTCTTAATAACAATGTTTATTTCAGGTAGAAATAAAATAATATTTGATATATAATGACTCCACATTATTTATTAAACTTATCACACAATTAGTTAAGTTTTATGGTGTATATCTTTGTACCTCAGAGGTAAAGGAAACCATGTCCATTTTTGAAGAAATTTAGTTAGCTTGATGACCTTGTAAATCTTTTGCTCTATATAAAAGTATTAGATACTACGTGCAGTTATTAAAAGTAACGAAAATAAGGAGCAATAAGCCAACTTGAATTAGTCACAAAGAAAAACAAATTTTTAAATGAAAATAATCGAAAATTTAATTTCCTATAAAATTACTATTTTGTGACATGGTTTTCTTTATTTTCGGGGTGCAGGTATGGATGTGTCCTATCTAGTAAACTCGATTTTCATTATTTTGTATAATACAAAATTATATTAGTATGTGAGCATGGTCCTCGTTAGGTTAATTAAATCAGTGCAGCATAGTTTGGTAATTTTTTCTTGTGCTTTTTTCCAATAGGGTTTTCATATAAACTTTTCACTGTTTCATAAAAAGGTTATCCAAACATGTGCAGCTCTCTGGATGTCATAGTTTTTTAATATTTTAAAAAAATAGCTCTTTTTTTAAAAAAAGGTTGCTGATCCCTACACTAAGGTTTTGATAATACGGCATCTTTACTTACTGATTTTTACGGTTTATTTATTTGTAATATCTGGGTATAATTTTTTTTTTTTTTTTTTATGATTGTTTTTACTTTTAAGTTATTTCAAACACATCTTCCTTTAATTTCAAGAAAAATGAATCTCATAAACTACTCCTCACGTGTATCATTTTTAATTAAATGTAACTCGATTAAACTGTAATAATAATAAATATAAATTTATATTTACCCAATATCGATTTAAATATCTAGTTTTTTTGATATTCCAGTTACAGTACTGTTATTTTATGTATGTTAGATTATGAAGAGTATAGTACCATTGTGTTTAATTGTAATTGGATTCTTACTTTCTTTCTAATTTATAAACTAATATAGGTTATGTACATAATATATATTTATATTTTGACATAAAATAATTTATTAGTATTTATCCTTTTTTTTTTTTTTTTTTTTTTTTTTGTATGTCATAACAAATTATAATTAAATTTTTAGCCTATTTATCTATCTAAAGGATCAGGATTTTTGACATCCAAAAAAGCTGGTGAACAAGCAGTTCGTGAAGAGTTTCCCAATGCTACTATTTTCCGTCCATCAGACATATATGGCCAAGGAGATAGATTTTTATTGTAAGTGTATTGATCGTAATTGTTCATTACTTATTATCAGTTTTGAATTAAAAAAATATTTAATATTTTTATTTCTTTGAATAGTGAGTATAATATTAAATTATGAAAGATTTGTAAACTTTTATGTGATTAAATTGTATTAAATAGTTTTGAATTTTATTTCAAAAGCAATTCTAACATTTTAAAGTTTTCATATTATTTGCATTTAAAATTTTTTAAATCATTGAAATCATAATACATTTTAATTATAATGCTTATTTTAATTATTATTTTGCATTCAGTTCTGTTTCATCATTATATGTACCTAAATATTTAGTTATTTTAGATATTATATCAGATTATTTTTTATTATATCTTTATTCTTGAAGGAAAATTTGTATTCATTGCTTTTCATAAGGGAAAAAATCAATCATTTAATAGTTGGTGTTAGTTGCATTTTTATGTAGGATTTTTTTTTTTTTTTTAGTACTTTCACAACTATTTTATTTTTCTCATTGTTAAACATTTTATATTATAATTTAGATTTATATTAACCAATATTTGAAATTATATCTAATTTTTCCTTTTAACTGAACTGTACATAGTTTAAGTATTAAACCAGTGGTGTCCAACCTGCGGCCCGTGGGTCACATGTGGCCTGCAAAGGTATTCTATGTGGCTCGTTACGAATTTTCTAAAATAAAATTTTTTTTTAAAAATGTATGAAAATGTTTTGATTTATAATGTTGTTTGATATTAAATTCTTTAAAAACTGAAACCGTTTCACAACAACGGCTTTTCCATTAATTTCAATGAAAAAGTATTTTATTAAAAATTCGGCAATCATCATTATATTTGCATTTTTTTCTGTCTGATATTTTCATATAGAAACTTTACAATTAAATATCGATATCACCCGTGTACTTAAAATAACATACTGATCAAACTAATGTGTACTTCAATTAATAATCTTTTCAATAGACAATAAAAAATTAGAAAACAAGTCTAATATATAAGATTATTTATGTACTTTTATACTTTGTGGCCTGCTTGAAGATAATTGTTTACCAAAGTGGCCCGCCAAAGGAAAAAGGTTAGACATCACTGTATTAAACAATTGTTGAATATTTCTTAAAATATGTTATTAAATAATTATTATAATTATAATTTTAATAAATATAGACGAACAAATATTGGTTGATACACTTGTAGTATAATTGTTGATGTTATTAAGTATTATCTTTGAATTCCAAAATTTTAATCTTAGAGGAAGGCACTTGTAGTTTCATTATTAATGTATATTCTTATTGACTTGTACCATGTTATCGTTATTTACATCTTATAAAAACTTATTTCACTTTAATAACAATTTAAATTAAAATCGTAATATAGATATATTTTACATTAAATTTAATCTAAATATGATTTAAGTACCTATAAATTCAATGTAGTTAAATATTGTGTGTTATAACGGTGATAAATATGTTAATTAAACTTATTGTTTAACAAATTTTATTTTATGTTTTTTAACTAGTAAATATATTATATTTTAATGATTGAAACTTTTTTGTTTTTACTATAATATTAATTCTACAAAAGCTGATAATATTATTTTTTTTTTATTATATGTATTTATTTATTAACATATAATACTGATTCATTACTTAAAATTAAATTTAAAATTATTTTTGGCAAAGGTTGGTAAAAAAAGTTATATTAACATACAATTATTAATTGTTTAACTCTGTAACTTGTTGTAATTGTCTTACCTGTATAACCTATTTATTTTGTTATTATTTTTTAATTATAAGTGTATTTTGTGTTTTAGAATATTTGTATTTTAAATAATTTTTATTTATAAATAAATTAATAATTTTTATTTTAAAAATAATAACTAAAAAATAAATAATTCTAATAATTTGTCTTTAGAATGTACAGTCATGCATGGCGTCGTAGTCGTCAACAAATTGTATTGTGGAAGAAAGGAGAACAAACAATTAAGCAACCTGTTGCTGTAGCTGATGTAGTGAATGGAATTGTTAATGCAATGCTTGATCGTTCAACATCAGGGCAAATTTATCAAGCTGTGGGGTAATTCTGTTGTGATTATATGTGATACAATATATTTTCTGATTATTGTACTAATGAATAATTACTAATAACATTTATGGTGATTTTAGGCCAACCCCTTATTTGTTATCTGATTTGATTGATTGGATTTTTGCAATTTTACGTCGCAACAGAGAATTCAACTTTGATTTTAAACGTACTGGATTCCTAGAAAATCCTCAACATCTAGTTAAAATGTGGTTAACAGACAAATTGTGTCCTAGCTGGCCTCCTGGTTATGTTAATTCTGAACGTTTTGAAAGAGTAAATAATATTTATAAATAACGTAAGTTTTAATATATTTATACAACCTCTTTGTTTTTATAGGAATTCGTAAATGATAGAGTTAGCGAGAGGCTACCAACATTAGAAGATTTGGGTGTAAAGTTAACCAGGACTGAAGTTCATATACCTCACGAGCTTAGGTTCTTGAAAGCTTTCCAATATTACATGGATACAATTGGCGAGTTTGAAAACCCACCTCCACCTCCACCATACATAGCATCATTAATTCGCAATTATGCCTAATTTTCTAAATTAGGTAACAATTATATAATATCAAACATAGGTAATTTAATATTGTTTCAGTTTAATACTTAGAAAAATGAAATATTTGAACGTTATATTGGTTTTTTTATTTACAAACTATTAATTTTTCAAAAATAATTTTTATCTTAATATTAAATATTATAATAACATAGTTAATTATACATTTTATCTATAAAATAGTTATAAAAAGTACCGTTTACATTTGAATCCAGTCATAATCAGAAAGCTATATTTATAGGAATACTGACTAGGTATATTTATACGGTTTTAATAACTTAAAATGAAAAGTAATTTTCATTTAATTATACAAATAATATTTTTTTACCTAATCCTAATCTCTATAACAATAAGACTTGAATTGAAGATATAACTTATACAAAGTCTAATTTATCTTAATGGCTAGTATCACATCCGTCCTGAATCGTTGTTTTGATGTTTCAGAAACCATCTGAAGAACGTGTCTGTCGCAGTGAACCTAGTCGGCTGTGCCACCAATCAGCGTCTAAAAACAAGCAAACAATACTCAATAAATATAATTTGTGTTAGAGTAAAACAACATTTTGTTAAATAAAAAAAAAAAACAAAAAAAAAAAATTATTGATCAATGTAAATGCGTTTCAAATAAAATTTCGTTCTAGATGTATTGAACCGTGAGTGTGTGTGTAGATGAAATATTCCAGAAATATAAAAAAAAAATTATGCAACTAATAAAAGAAGGAAAAAATTAGTATAATTTAAACAGAATAAATAAAACGCCATTCTTTTTCGAAAGACATCACTAGACACTGCTTTTAGTAACTGTCACAAGACCTGTGTTCTGCTTGACATAGCTGTAATAATACATGTAATTAAAACTCGAATTAAGTAGAAGTTGGAACAACATATCCGCAGTATTTCTGAAATCCTGTATGTTGGATTCCACGTGTTGAAATATTCTTATTATATTATCATTGCGCAATTTTCCTAAATATAGTTCGTGGGCAGGGGCGGAACTAGAAGGTGGAAGACGAAGATTCATACCCGGGCGTAAAATTTTAGAGGGTGTAATTTTTGTAATTATAAACAACTAATTTGATATTTTTAACTTTGTTAAATACTTTTATTAGGTTAAAACTCAACAAGTATGATTGTGTATTATTTATTAGAAAAAAATTCTCGTGTAGAGTATTTGATTATTGGTCTATGATAGAACGTAATTTTAACATTTTCCGTTGGCTTTAAAATTCCTAGTTCCACTTACGTTCGTGGGTATCCACTGAATTTCGTCGTGGACGTCGTCCTTGCATCAAAAATTTATCGAGCGCAATATTTTAGAAGACATTATTTTTTTATTCTTCTCTCTTCTTGTTGAAATAATATGACCGAAATTAAGTGAGGGGCAGTGGAACTCGCGATTCCGAATCATCGACATATTTAAGGAAACGGCGGTATGCAATTTATTATATTATGGTGAGGAATCTGAAGATGGGAAATGTGAAACAAAAGCGGCAATGCTCAGCGGTGTAATGATATACACAGCACCCTGAACCCGTACGTTATACGCGTTTTAAAAGTACGAAAAGAAACGACTATGAAGCATTACGGTGCGTAATAAGTATTTACTATTTTCGTTGTAACGGGATACGAAATCGTTCGGATGAAAAAAAGCGCACGTCCGTCACGTCCGCAGCGGAGCGGGACGACGCATTTCGTGTGAATGTAGCAACTGGTGTACGACGACCGGCTGCCGGGTAACATTGTATTATTTTTGCGGTTAAACAGTCCAAATAATTATGGTTTCGGCCGCTTAAGTCAATGTTCCCGCCTACGATGACGTAGGCACCGACTTGAAAAATATATTATTTTACTTCTCTTTTTGATAAATTGACTACTATAAGTATATGTACGATACATGCATTCGAAGGTACAACGCTTAACGAGCGTTCTGAATTTTAAAATGAATCGCCTTATTTCTGAATCAATTATGAGTATAATTGAGAGTGTGCAATAGCTAATAGACATACGAGTACAAGGGTTATAAAAAAAAACTTTTTACCGTATTTAACTTCTCGTTAACTCTAATCTTTGTCTATTATTGATTTTGACAACGAGCTTTGATTCATCCGGTCGCCTTTCAAGAATGATCAGAATTCCTCGGTTTCTACAAGCTCTGTTTAGTGAGTACCTATACCGTAGTCGTATTTGTACGACACGTATGTGTATGCATTAGCATTCTCAGTAGCGTTGGTAAAAGTCTGTATTGTTCGGCAACGAAGTTTTGGAACTTTAAACGGTAAAAAGTGGTAGAGATTTTGAACAATGAAAGGGATGCAATATCGATTTTAATAAACTTGTAATAAATTAATAGCTGATGTGTTTAATAAAAAACAAATAACGTCGAGGCGTCAAAGATGTAGCGGTGCTTTATGTAAATGACATTAAAATAATGGTGTGCAAGGGTTGTTTGTTTTTAAACGCGATGTTTAGGACAGTCAGATTATTTAGCTGACGCTCTATTCTGTTGGCACTTAACTGCAGAGTACCTACAGTGGATGGATGGTATTCGGCCGGTGCTGCATTATATGGGAGACGAAAAGGATGAAAAACATTTCGATTCCCAAGCAGACGCGATTGGATACTAATAACCGCCGAACCGTTCGTATTGTTATTAACATATTATTATTATTATACCGCGAGCAGTTAAACTCGCCACTGACTACACGTTATTATTTCACGTTTTGATGTATTATTATAATAATGTTGCGGCGGTGCAAGCGCGCACGCAATAAGACGCATTTGTACCCACTCTAATGTAAGGTTGTCTCCGCCTGTTGCCACGCAGCACGCACGAGGCATACGTATACGTGTTAACGTGTGTAATATTATACAGAGCGATTACACCGTACAGACCGCGTTATCGTTTTGCAGGTATAATACGCGCGTGCATAATGCGCGCGTGTTTTTGCGACGAATAATACAACACCGTGGACGCTTACTGTTCACACTGACCGTAGTGCAGTAATGCCTAGTAACACCTGGAAGCCAAGGTATCGTAGAAAGTAGATACGCCGGGAAACACACGTGAAATCGATTTGACGAAACGTTTTCACAATACGCGAATGTCGCCGACGCATACCTATACAATATGCCCACCGTACGGTTTCCATTGTCGGAAAAATGGGTTAGAACACACGGCGAAGACTCGGTCGTTTCGGATGTGTATTATTATCAAGCGGAAAGAGCTCCGCACGTGTATGGTTAATATTGTTATCGCGAAAACAATCGCTATGGACATATCTAACGTGTATACGCCGCCGCACGAGCCGACCTACGTCTCTTACACATAGGTTCGGTGCCCAGGGACGTATTTAGACTTACTTATAGGGAGGGAGGGCGACTCAAATTTTTTCTTTAATTCAGGCTCAAAATTAACAAGTAAAATTGTTGGTAATATTTAAATCAGGTGAATCCTTAATATTTGTGGTTTTTTTTTTAAATCTTATTTCGGATCCACTTAGAATCGACTTTTGTGTAGTTATTTTTTAACACCTGTCTGTGTTACGCTAGTGTTTTATTTGATTTTTCGTTAATTATGGACCCGACAAAAAGTCCAATTCAGTATTCACAGCCACGCGTAATTTGATTTCGTTATAAAATTATCCACATTAAAAAAATTTTTGCCCTTTCGCCCCCCTCCTAAAATACGCCCATGTCGGTGCCGCGGGTTTCTTCTCGCGAACAGTACCGTGCCCAGCACAAATCACTGGATTGTAGGCCCTTTATATTCGGTAATCGATCCTAGTGATGCTGAAATCAAATAAAAATAGAAAACGAAGAAAAAACGAGAAGAGACCTGAACACCGACCCACGATTGTATTTAGAGCCCAATAATATATGCATTACATGAACAATATTATTAGATAAATGAGACACGTGGATTAATCTACCGAGCAGTGTGTGTACACACGAGTTGATTACGAACCGTGTTTGTTGATAGTTCACAATAACTATAATTATTCGCTGACCCAACCTCTGGAGACTGGACCAACTTACGCACCACTAAAGTATTATTAAGAGATAGGTTATCTGCCCTACTTGAATATAGAGTTCGGCGCCACCAGTCCGTTCTGTTAATGGGTTTAGAAAATACGATTTCGGCTAGCATACGAGCAGGGAATATTTGTATTTCTTAACCTTAACCATATCTGATGTGTTTTAATAGATACATTTTACATGTAATAAAAAAGAAAAACTACCAAACAGGCTGAATAAAAATTGAACAGGCCTTAGCCTACGTGGTCAGCCGGTCCTGTAATAGTAAATTGAAAATAGATCCCATTCATTTCAACCTGGCTAATTTACGAAATAAACGTTACAAAAAATTATATTTTTACTTTATCTAATAGGTGTGGGTTGCGTATATCGTATTTATCTGGATAAACTATTATACACGCCTATAAAATAATAAGTAGAATAGAAACTGATGATGATTCAAATGTTCAGTTTCATTGACTTTCTTCTCAATTCCCGCTTCCATATGGAATATGCACCAAAGTACCTTACTGGATAGTAATAGAACTAATAACGTGTGTGAGGAGTGGAATAATAGATTTAGTCATTTGGATGAGCGTATAAATCTATACATTTGGAAATTATGCAAATTATTGAAAAATATGAAACATAAATGGGAACTGATAAAGCAAAATTAACGTTGAGTGAAATTAGGCAATCAACTTATAAGCCACCACATTAAGGGTATATAATGCAAGCCCAACTAAAAATATCGTGTAATAATTAAACATTTTTTAACACATCAAATGTTCATACATTATTAAAAAATAACTATATTTTAAGTCTTTAAATATATTATTTTATTAAATATATTTATTTTAAAATGGTATATTATATAAAATTATTTATGAAGTTATAAAAAGTCAACTAAAACTTCCTCAAATAGTGGCGTCGAGCTCTAAAAAAAGTACTATTGTTAAATTTATTTTCAGAAGGTACCACCCACCAATAATGTAATTTGTCAGTGTAATAATAAATAATACCTAGGTTACAATAGTTACATTGTAAAACTAATCTGTTGTTAAAAATGTGAAGGTTATTATTGTACAATTATAATATTACTGTATGATACTATCTACGTTATATGAGCAGCCTCAAGGTCCTAATGACTATTTGGGGCTAAGCCCTTAGGACTACCCACCCTATTTAAGCTATTGTTTTAACAACACTTGTTAAGGAGGTTCGGCGCCACTATCCTCAATAAGTTATGTAGTATAATTCTATACTAACTACTAGGTTGTATATTTTCTCATATGAATTGAGAATATTTAATTTAAAATGATTACTTACCAAAAGGGTATTATTAACGATTACAGGGATTTTCAGTTTTCAATATATAATTCACGACAACAAGACGTACAATTTTCAACATTTTATATAAAACCATATTATTATGTTAGGTATTTTTTTTACTATGTAATATATACTTAAACGTAAAATCATACTGTTAAATTGTTTTTCAAAATTTAGATCATTATTATCTTATTCAAATGAAGGCGGACGGATTAGACAAGGGGCACCCTCAGTGGAAGGGGGTGAATGAGGCAGTTGCCTCCATGGCCTCAAATGTGTATCGTTTATTATTTATTGCACAATAGGAAAATACATTAATGTATGAAGTTCGCTACCCCAAAAAAAGGATCTAGGGACGTCTATGGACTAGAGTGGACTGATTTTTTTAATTTAAAGACAAGGGGATTGAACCAGACCGAACCACATTAACGCGAAAAACATTATTAAGACTAAAAAAGACTGGACTATGGTCTGGTACGGATCGATCCAGATCAGACCGTGCTGAGTTTTAATAGGGAAGTTAGTGTGTGGTCCTCGTTTCTTGAAAATCTGATAATTTGATCTTTACAAATTTGTTAAGAAAATAAATGAATGCTAAAATCTCGGAAGGGGTTCTCATAATCGCGTCACTACCCGGTTTAATGGTTAAACTAGGTAAACGGTGTGCATATGATAAACATTAAATTCTCTGCACAAACAAATATACGCATAAGATGCGGGTTATAGTTATAATATTTTATGTTATTAATATTTTGCTGCAGTCAACGTCAAGAGATCGACAGGCTAACGATGATAAGCTGTCATGCGAGTATCTAGCAGATGATGGTAATTGTTATCTTTCGACTGCACATTCACAGTGCGGGATATGGCAACAGTTCGTTTTATCAACCCTTCGGATGTTTCTGTGGCAAAACGGGTCAGGTGAATAAAGAGAAATAGAGTATAATAAATTTAAATCAAACCAGTTTTGTTCTACGCGTGGTATACGTTACACCGGGCCATGGTGAAGTCGATTGATTTTTGTGACGATTGTTTTTGCTAGAGATTTAATCAGGAAAAAAAATAATAACTTCATAAATCACCGAGTCGGAGTGCACAATATACCATATATATATATATATATATATATATATATATACATACATATATAAGCGATACCTTTTATTCTTATGAATATTCACACGTTACAAGTGGCGTGTATAATATACTCACCGAATGAAATCGACCGGTTGGTGCCAGCGGCGATCGTTGTACTGGTGGTTGCGGCGCCGCCGTTGTCGCCGTTGTCATTGGGGCGGTTGCTGCAGCCGTTGCCGCATTGGGTAAGCGTGGGCGTCAGTTCGTCGGGCGACTCGGGCACGACCGTCACCGTAGTCGCCGACACTGTCTGTGCCGCCACGTCCGGTATCTGCGTACACACCAACACACACAACGACCACGGTATTGGTTTGGTTTAAGTCTTTTTTTTTTTTTTTTGTTTTTCTTTTATTTCTACAACACTCGGTGGGGTTCTTTTTTTTTTTTTTTTTGGTTACAATTGTTTTTGTACGGGAAAAGGTTTTTTTTACGCGCGCTGATCATATTACCGTTCTCGAATTTTGCGCCGTGTCCATGAAACTCCGGCCTCGAGCGAACTGGTACACGTCGAAATCGTTGGTCACCTCTTCGACTTCCACGTGCAAGAAACTCTCTTGACTGCCTGTGAACTGTACACACACACAGGAAACACACCGTTTATGAAAATTTTCCTTTGATCATTAATATTATTAATATTATTATTATTATTAGGTATTATTATTGCTCAAATTAAATCCTGTACGAAACCCCAACCATCTGATCGACTCCGTCTGTATATCGTGTACGTGCATACGTTCGGTTACAACGTCATAATAAATAATAACAAAATTATGTAGCCTCAGTTTTGCTATTCGTCTATTAAGACAATTATATTTATTTTGCATTTCATCGTGATAACCCTGTTTATATAACCCAGGGATTCCCAACCGCTGTGCCGAATTATTTTTATAATTTTATAATTTTTAAGCATAACTAAATATAATAATCAAAATTATCATTTATATTTATGATAGCATTGATTTAAAAATTACTTTGAAAATAAAAAATGATAAAATGTCCTGATAAAACAGCTATAATATACCCGATACGGGTATTACAAGTAGTTGCGTTGACTTACCACATACTATAATGAATATATAAAAACATAGCCGGTGCTCATTATAATGAAAATTGAGTGCGTGTAATTGTTACGCATTATACTGTAGAGGTATTTTGATCAAGAAATATTGTAAGTTTAATTTAAAAATGGATAGATTTTTAAAAAAGCGTAAATTAACGGATGTGAACGGCAGTGATGTTAGTGCAAATGACAACAGTTTAAATATTGAAATTAATATTAAACAATCAACTTTAATAAGTGATAAAAGTTTAAATTTAAAAGTTAAACGTAAATATGTTGATAATTATTTATATTTTGGATTTACGTGGAATGATGATAATGAAGGTTCTTTAACAGTTTTTATCGTTTCAACATATTCATCCCTAATAGAGGAATTATGTAAAAAACACCAGTCTCAAATGTCACATTAAATTTTTATTATATAATGTATATTCATTATTATTTATTTAAGTGTGCCGTGGAAATTTTTAAAATGATCAAGTGTACCGTTAAGTAAAAAGGTTGGGAATCCCTGATATAACCCATTAGATTTGCAGATCAAATATCAACTAATCAAAATGATTATTGTTTATATTACTAGGTATATGATAATAGGAATCAAACTTCTTATAATACTACGGTTGAAGTTGTACTCTATATATTATTACTTAGGAAGTTATAAATTATAATTTCCCAATCTTTTTTTAAATTTGTACGAATAAGACAACGAGAACGTTCAATTTCCAAATACGAATTGCATTCTAAACCACAATATAATAGTGATAATTTGTTGTTGACTAACAAAATGTATCTATTTATGTTAACTAATTCATTATGATTCAAAACTATTGTTTTATCTTTTCTATTTTGAAATCCCAATAAATCGTCTAACTCTCACAACAATTTTTTTTGTTTACATTTTTTATAAAATCAATAAAAGGTATTATGAATAAAATTGGTTAATTCGGTAGTGTAGCTGTAAAAATAAATAATTGTATTTTGTTAATATGATAGTAACAATCAAAGACACTATTTACCGAGTTCGGAAGGAGTTTAATTTTTTATTTTATGTTACTAACTATATTAGTAATCATCTATATTATGACAAATTTAACTTTGAGTTATTTAAAAGATTTTCCTATTATATACTAGTCAGAGTTATTATGATTAACTAAATATGTTTGTCAGTTAAAATCAAACTAACAATAGGTTAACTACAATAAAAATAAAAAAATTATTAAAAAAAAACAAAGAAAAATATTATATTCATCAAACATAAAAATATAAGAAGTACCAACTACGAAATCCTTCAAATACTATTACAAGTCATTATATTTAATACCTATACAATAAATAAATAATATTAAATCCTGCTTGAATTCAAGGCATACGCATAAAATTTACTGATACTCGGACGTATATTCGTATATGCTATTTTTAAACACAAGTTATAAAAAGTGACTACTTATAAATGCTTGAATAAAAAAAGTAAAATAAGAAGGACTTTTAAGTTTAAAAAAATTAGGGTTTCTTGAAATTATTTGACTCGTATCAAAATGTATTAAAAAATTTTCTATACTTAATATAGCGAAAACTGTCACGAAATAAATATTTTATTTTAAATAGACTTCCGGCTTATTTGAGCATGACGGATCCAGAAGTGCTGGGGAAAATTGTCACTCCTATAAGAAAAAAATAATTTTAAAAATAAAGTACATTTAGAAGAACTAAATAAAAGATAATAAAAATAAATGTAAACTTTTTAAGTACAATATTGTGACATTATTTTTTTAAAGGGGGGATCTAAGTCCAAGACATCCCTTCATATGCCTATGTTCAGCTCTATTGTATAATTTCTCCTATAGAGTTCCTCAATTGTAAAAAGATGTTGGATCCGTTTTTGAATTCGAGGTCCACGCTAAGACATATTTAATTTTACAAATAATATCATTTTTAAAATTAAATTTATGAGAATGATTCGTTAAGTTCCAAAATAATATTATAAAATATTAAAATATACAAAAAAAAAAAAAATCACGTTACAAACATTTAGATCTCTAGATTTGTTTTGAACTAAAATAATATGTAATACAATTTTTTTAAAAATAATGTGCCAAAAACATTAAGTATCATTTTAAGAGGACAAATATTTATAAGATATCGAAGCAATCTATTTTAATTTAAGTACTACAAATAATTCTTCAAATATTAATAAATGATATAGTATGTTGTAGTCAAAATTATCTTATTACACTTGAATAAAATAGAAATTCGATTATTATAATAATTGTACACGAATAATTTTTGTTGTAAATTTTCGAATCGAATTATAATGATTTTTCGCTGAAAACTTTCTCGTGGCGTGATTATTATGTCCTAAATATATGCATTGATGAATTTCTATTCGCACACGGATTTTATCGTTGACCAAGAACACGGCAAAATCATCATTTATCACTTCATAATAATAATAAAATAAAATAAATAGTAATTTAGCCTATCATAATATATTATGCATATATAAACCATGTTCCTAGTTTTTACTTTAATAGTAGATCATTAGTTTAAATTAAACTAAAGTTCTTCATTATGACTACACTATTGTGGCTTTATCTTTCAATTACGAACGCGGTTGAAATCATGGTGACATGTCTCGATGATACATTAATTTCGTTTCATGTTGTCTATATAGGTACATAAACACAATATGTAAGAGGTCTGGTATATTAATATATTATTAAATATACCAACTGTATGATTGCCAAGGTCCGCAAAAGTTATCCGAATAATATGTTTGTATCGATGAAAGGAATCTTTAATATTGTAACAAAACCAACCTTCACATTAAAAGTATTCACTCGTTTTCCTTCGACCTCTGTATGCGTAAGTACGTAACATCTTGCCGCATAACAATAATATAATACGTATGCTATGTACATCCATAATCGATTTGTCAGAAAAATATCCTAGCATTATGTCGTTTAACGTAATCTTTGAGTAAATTAAACGCTTGTTTGCTTATTAAGGAATATGTTTAATTCTCACCATTGTGTACGTATTTAGTCAAACTACTATTAAATGTTTAGTAGGTACCACAGAAAAATCAGAGGATTTTTCAGTTATGGCCGTCCGTGTCCATTAATATAATATTATATCTGTAAAATTATAATATGTTAACAAACGATTTTTAATTTTCTTAATAGGTTGAGTATATTTTTTTAGTCCAGAACGTGTCCTTGAAAAACATTACAACTTGTTATAGTTACAAAAATTAACAAGTAAACGTATTAACAATTAGGTACAAGAATTATGACACGTGAATAAAATATATTAAATATAGTTATTAAGTAATTCAATTATATTAGGTATATTATGCTTTGAATAATATATACATTAAATACATAATAATATTACTTCTATATCAATATTGTCAAATTAGAAGATATTTGGTTCTATTTATAACATGCAAGAGATAAGTGGAGAGAGACATCAATAATTATTTCATCAATCTTTGGGTTAAAAAAAACAATGTAAATATGCAATTTAAACGTAAAAACTATTTACATTAGCTATACGCTACATAACAGATCGATTTTTTTTATAAAGCTTGGTAACTTCTTGAAATATTTTATAAAATGTGATAGATGTTGCGGGAGAAAGACACGATGGAAATGCCCATGGACATATAAGAAAATATTAAGGTATGTATTAATGGACACAATGTAGTTACCAGTAATTACATATTTAGTACCACTAGTTTAGAAATTTGTTTTATTCATAAATATTTATTTTATTTCCTTTGTGTTTAAAACCTTCTTCTTCTTTAGCTTTTACAGTCCTTGAAGGAATTTTGCTGCCTCTAAAACATTTTTCCATTTGACTCGGTCGATGCTGTTTTCTATCGTAATTTTATGTGAATACTTATTTAGATCACCGTTGACTCTGTTAATTTAGCGTTGAAAACTTACTAGATAACCTACTAGAATACTTATCAAAAAAACCTACTAGAAATAATTTATAATGGCTTGTGGCCACGTATACAATAATTGGTTGGATCAATATAGAAAATCGTCACACACGATTTCAGATTTTGTACTATACAGTGTAGCTATTTACTAGAAAATAGTAAACCTAAATTATATATAGCAATAAAACAATAAACTTGGTATTGATTTGTATCGAATTCGTGTCAAACCGTACATTTTTTTTTTATTAATCTTCGTTTTGACAAATAATTATTACAACATTTTAAGTTAATTTCGATAACATCTGTTACAGTAGGTAGATATATAACCGATTAATTTAAAAATGACCATAAAATATTTAGTCCAATTTCTATCATAGATTTGGACCGCTGTCCTGATCGCAGTAGGTACAATAACGTATACACAAGAGATCTATAATTTCAAAAAGCTATAAATAATATTTCAAAACACACAATGAAATATTATTTTTTATTGTTTACAAGGCACATGGATTATTGCGTATGTAAAAATTTGGCAGTACCTATAAACAGCGAAAAACTATTTTAATATATATTATTTATTGAATGTTAATATGATACATTTTGCGGGATGGTCCATGTATATGTGACTTAGAACTATGCTAACCTCAATTATTTTAATTTTTTTATAAATTCAAACTATAATATATTATTAATGCTTTTAAAATATTACTATTCTTAGTACATAATATGCACCGTAGTCAATTTAAGTCGGAGTCGTTAAACGAAACAAACATAATATAATTTTTAACTATTCTCGTTGATGACTATTACAGTATAGACTATATAATTTGTATTCATAGCCACTCACCAAAAACCCGTAGTGCTTGAGTATGTCCATTTTACACATTGGACAAGTCCTGTGCTCCAACAGCCAGGGGTCTACACAGCTTTTGTGGAATTCATGTCGACACGGTAAGATCCGAACTACCTCGGATGGTTTATATGGTTCGATGCACACTGCACAACAATCACCGTCACCAATGATTTCCTGCAAAATGGTAAGTAAAAATAATTTTTTTTAACAGATTCAATAGCATCAAATCGTAGGTGGTTTTTAGCATAATTCATAAATTAGTATTATTTTTACGTTTCGTTCAATTATATAAAATTGTAAAAATTATCATTTTTTGATTCAGATTTAAGTATAATATTTCAATGGAGCAAAAAAAGCATTTTTATTTCTAGAGTAAATCCACAAGAAAATTACTGACTTTGTTGGTTCTAGGAAATATAGATTGTGTAGTATCTTCATTTATTTTTGACTGAGCTACTTTTTTTACTTTATAATTAGGCTCGAATTTATGGGAAATAAACATAATTTCTTATGATTAATTTTTAAATTTATTAAAAACTCAATTCTATTGAATTATTACTGTAAAATTCATAATTTTAAAGCTATCACATGTTTAGAAACACAAATCGACAGAAAAATTGTAATTTAGTTTGGCACTCAAAAATCAATAAAAATGATAATGCAATATTTTCGGGCGCAAGATACTATAAATTACCATAACATTTATTTATAGCTGTTTTAGAAATAGTTTTATCTGGGTGTTCGATTTTTTTCAAAAAAATTTTTAACATTATAAATTCCTTATAAGTTGCTTCAATTGCACAGGACATGCGAATTATATTCCAACGTATAATTTAACTATAAAAACACATACGAGTATATCTCAAAATTGTGTGAAAATAGCCGAAACAAAATCAAACATACGTGTTGGAGATAAATTAAAACCTTGAAATTATCGATTTTTTAGGTAGTTTACATTTTATATTATTTTTTATAGAAAATAATAGATTGATCAGATATATTATAATACATTTTCTTACAGACAGTATTTAAATCTACAATAAAGTTTGTATACAATTTTATGCTTAATGCAACATATTTTGAATTAAATAAAAAAAAAAACCCAAAACTACCCTGTTTAGAAATAGTAAACCCTCTTGTGGCACGTGAAGGGAGTGATTGATTAATCTTCATCAAATTAAATATTTAAAACTTTGTTATAGTAATGAAAAAACTAGAGGAGTGAGAAAATAAAAATATTTAACCCCCCCCCCCCATATAACTAACGGCATCTTAATTATATTATTATTGAAACTAATTTTTTTTATTTTATTAATTTTTAAATTTTTTTTGTTTACTCGAAGCTTCCAGTAAAACAATTGCAACTTGCCACATGAAATTTATACTTAATAACTTTTTTTTAGAAAATTTAATTTTTTATTCTTTATAATTTTTATTTTTTGTCGTATGATTGATTGTTATTCCGATAAACTTAAAAAAAACCGTAAAAAAGTTAATTTTTTTTAATAAATTAAGTATTTTCTAATTTTTCATATAAAATAATAGTTGTAGGTAAGAAAAAATGATTAAATCATATCAATAATTTAAGTTTTCTACATTTTTACAAAAAGTTCAATAATTTATTGATTATATTCAAAAAACGACAAACCAACTCTATTTCGCAATTTTTCAATTTCTTTTTCAATTTTCGCAATTTCTTATAATAATGTAAAAAACAAGGGGTGAGAAATTAAAAATATAAAATTTTTTTTCTTCACCTTCGACTAAGGGTCACCCTTATATGTATGTATTAATACACACATACATACGCACACACACACATATGTGTGTCGTCAAAGGACAGCGTCATTAGGCGTACAATGCGCTATGGAGAAAAAACCTCAATATTATAACAGACATAGTACTCATATCCCAATTCATATTGCCAAAAAACTCTACTCTTCACGATTCCAATAATAAAGTGATTATCTTCCAAAATTTGGACGAAAAATTTACGACTACATCTTTTCAAATGTCAAGCGTTATACATCATCTTCAACCAAAAATTCACCATCACACAAAAACAAAAAACCAATGTTATTCATGACAGCAAACAGGTTTGTAGCTCTATCAATTGTTGACGATTTGTTTCCTGCGTCATCAAGTAGTGTACATAATACTATTTCAAACCAGCTACACGTAATTCCTGCTACAATTCTCTCTTCTCCGATCCAAGTTAAAAATGTAAATGATATTACATTATTCAAAAATTTGTTATCAAGTACGATTGATATCAACCAATTATCTTTTAAAGCTACTCAATCATACTTAAGTGTTGGTCCTAAAGACCAAAAAGGTTTCAATGTAGTCATTGCCTTTTTGAGGGAAATGAGTTTTGCGTATCATTCCTTTCTTCCATTACATCTACGCTCCTTTCGAGTTGTAATTAGGAACCGACACTATACGGCTACTACCTCTGATATTTATGAAGATTTGGTCACCCTCGGTCATACAATCACAAGGACTTGAATATATTAAAACTTATTGTTGCTCTATCACTCTTTTTTTGTGAATTTAAAACCCGCTGAAAATAACAACGACATTTCCAATACATCATTCCTATCTAATACTTTGGTTAAAATCAAAAATCCGTACAAAATCAATCGGGGCCTACCTTAATGCCACAATCGCCAGGACCATAGGCGTAAACTGGGGGAGGTAAGGGGGGCAATTGCCCTCCTAGAAAAAATTAGGAGGTGCAGTGCCCCTTTTGGTATTTTACATACCTTGTTTTAAAATAAGTACAAAACAGCTGGTTATAGCTATTACTATAACATTTTTTTTTAAATCTTAAATTTTCGCTTATCTAACACAATGTTAGAAAATGAATAATTTTATATAATATGTAGGTAGTAAAGCGGCATTTAGCCTCAGACACCATTTTTGTTAGATATATAATTATATTTTTGCCCCTCCCCCTAATAAATTTCCAAGTTACGCCTATGGCCAGGACTATGGCCATACTGGACGGTTTTGCGGTCACTGTTTACGTCGTGTTAAGTGTGGTGACGATCATCACATTTCTGAGTGTAACCAAGACAAAAGCTGCTCAGCTATATGTGTCTTGTATGGACGTGATCACACGGTGAACTTCAAAGGATGTCCGTCATTTAAATCACTTCGTATCCTTCGATTCGTAATCTCGTTTTCATCGTACTCCGCAAAAACACAAAATTTCATATCCTTCAAATACAAATTTAAATCCTAATCCTTACGCACATGCTCTTTCTGGTGCTGTACACCAACTTCAAATTGAAAAACCAGAGGATATAAAGAAAATTCTCAATGATTTAAAATCTATTATTATTCCGCTTATAGCTATACTAATAACTAATAGTTATACTATTGAAATTCTTTGTACAATGTTTAACTCCATTTATATCCATTCATTAATTGCTAAAATCCACAATGATTCATTCCATTACCTACCTTCATTATAAACATTTTACCTTTATAATACCAGCTATTGTTATAATTATTAATTTTTGTTATTTTTCCTATCAAATATTGTGATATTAAAATGTATCATTATTTAAAACTCTACATTATTCAATGCTGAACTATATGAAAACATGTAATAATTAAGCTAAATAGTTTTTGCAGTAGCTCTAATAAAAAAAAAAAAAAGTTACTTAATAATGATGTCAACAATATTCAGATTTCTTTGTATTCGGAAAATTAGTGAACTTACATATTTTTTAACCTTGTTTTAATCATCATGGATTATGTAGTAATAATAATTTAATAGAAAATTATAAGCTACGGACAAAATATCTGAGTTCGGATACTCTTAATAGTTTTGACTGAAAACTCTCATCATTTTCTATATTATTACTGCTAACTTCGTGTGTTATTTTTGTATTGTTTTCTTTTTTTTATAACGTAGGATTAATTTTAATATAAATACTTTACCTTGTCATCCATTTTGATGTGCTTGGTGGGTATCTTGGACAACGCTTTTTTAGCCGCATTACATAAACGCCTCTAGAAATTAAAACATAAACCCTTTTTTACATAGCTCAAGAACAGGTTTCAGGAATCAGATAAAGTACATTAAATATTAAGGCTATTAATAATTTTGGTTTATTATGGTAAATAGCAAATAATGCTAGAGTAAAAATAAGAAAAGTAGTTTAAACAAATATTTTCTAATAGAGGCATTTTTTTTATTTGTTATCAATACAATTGAAAACATTAATAAGTTTTTTTTTTTTATACAATAAATTCTTACATTATATTGATTAACCATATAATATGTATACAAGGCACTTCATGTATTTCCACTTTCACTTCCTCATTTCTTGGTATGTATATTTATCTTCGTACTTATTATTACTAATATTTTTTTTTTTAGACGCGTCATATAATAAGGCACACGTCATTGTAAGTAAAATCTGTTTGCTTAATACTACCACATGTATTACCTAACTTTTGTTTTAGATTAAAATACGTTTTATTAAATTAATAATACTTAAAATTTTTTTTTATGAAATAATTTAATTGTATTTTATAGGGTAGTTATAAAACATTCAATACGTTTATTTAGGATTATAAATATCATTATGATACTAGTTTTACTTGTGATTTGACAGATTCACGTGATCTGCCAAACAGAAAAAAATATACAATTAAATTTAATTCTTTGATATTCCTTTATGATTCTTGAGAAACAAATTTTGGCTTTATAACATTGAAATTAAAATTGAAAAATATTAGCTTACAAATAATAAAATGGATTTATTAAATAAGCAGTACAATTTAGCAGTAGTTAATTAATTCATCAATTATAAGATGATTTTTAAGTTATTATTAAAATATTTGGAAATTAAATTAGCATATTATAATTACTGACTGTTAAGGTTTTCATTATTAAACTTATAAGAAGTCGTTTTGCTATTTTTGAGATTTGACGAAAATATTAACGACAAATAATAATGGTATTCTATCTATTTTTTAGATTTATTTTCTAATTAAAAACAATATGTAAAAATGTATATGTACAATTCGTGATATAAAATAAATATTCAGTAGACTCAGATTATTTTTATTACATTTTCATATTCGATATATTGGAATCGGCGGTGATAGATCACATAAAATATCAGTAACATAATTGTTATAATAATAGATATTTCTTTACAAAACTAAGTAAAAATACATACAACTTGTGAATTATGTTTAACTAATAAGTGACTTACCGACAGTTGGTCTTTGGCGTGAATATACCGGAACCTTTGAATGTAATAGAATACCAACCATGCCAAAGATATGACCATTAGTACGATGAACGATATGCTTACGAACAGTACAGACGTTCTGAAAAATAAATATTTGCGTGATTATAATGAACAAATGTAATAACTAAATTACATAAACTATGAACTAAAGTAAAATAACGGTTAATTGTTCGTAATATAGGTTTGGAATATAACCTTAAAATGCAAATTTGGAATATCATCCAATCCAACTCTTTAAAATAGCCTATGTAAGTGGGTGAATTACTGTTAAACGTACAAGCAAGTCATTTACGGTGATAAAATAACGGTTTATGGATTACAATAGAGTTTTTTAACGCTCATAAAACTATAACTGAAATAATACTTGAATGATTGAACATAATTCTGTTATTTCTAAAAATGTGTTTAAAATATTTATGAATTCGAGTTATATGATCATATTACGTTCATTATTGCAATAAATATTTTAATCATTGAATTTTGAAATATTTATCAAGTTTATAAGTTCGTTACATATAATTTGATTTTTGATTTTTTTGAAATTATAATCCATCCAGACTATACTTACTCTATTATTTGCATGATAACACTGTTTAAAGGAAAATCGTGTTAATAAAAAAATTAACTACAGTTTATCACTTTTATGTTACCATCAAAAATATTGAGTTTTTTTAAATACACTTCAATTAGTTTTAAAATTTTTGTACATTCGTTGAGAAAATTTAAAAAATATTTTTAATTCAATTTTTTTAAGAAATGTGTTATAATTATTAAGTCATTGGCTATTTATTGAATAATGTATTAAAAATAATTTTTAGTGTACTTTGTCTCTAACGACTCCAACAACGAAATTTGAATAAAGGCAAAAATAAAGTTCGTAGATATATTACAAGATTTTGTATAATACGTAATAGAGGCAGTACAGCGAGTTTAAAATAAAACTAGAACTTGAATACAGACTTAAGTAAAAGTGTATATAATTTTGAATTTTGATGATTATAAAACTTAAAGCCATCAAGGTCACCAAATCTGTCATATATAGTTAGTATTCATGTATAATAAACTTAATATTATATTATATTATATTTTTCTTAATTTTTTTATTTACATTATATAATAATAAAATAATAACTTCTACTTGTATTATTGTTTTTCATAGATAACAAAATCCTAAATCCAGTTGATTTGAATATATTGATTGAACAGCATTTTTACTACGTATTAACTTTCCACAATATTATATTTTTAAGATGGTATTTTTCCTCATAAAAATTATGTAATTTATACACTAATTCCTGATGGAGCAATATTGGCGAATCCGAATAAAAATATTTCTTTGGTAAAACTAATTTTTAAAAATTACTGAAATAATTTCTTTGAAATGTTGATGACATGTATGGATTTAGTAGTTCAGTTTAAGTATTGTGGAAGTTAAGACTAGTGATATTACTAAAAAAAATATAAATAAACTGTTAATTTTTGTTGTTAAAATTGGTTTAGGTTTATAATAAAAAAAAAAGACCTACATTAATCTTTTCAATATACCAATTACAATATGCGTATTTCTTAAACGTCTACAAATTAAATTTTACAATTAAAATTATTTTTTTCTCTAAACTGTTGTAGCTGTAGCATATATAATCATAAAATACAATTGTTCTTTTATTTTTAAATTCTTATCTCCGCGTAAAAATAATAACACTTTATTAATTAAAAAAAAAGTACTATAACATTTTGTTGACTGTAAAGTTATACTGATGAATGTCGCATTAAATAATAATATTAAAATATAGATCGAACATTATAATTGAATAATATTTAGAATTAGATTAAAAAAGGGATTAAAATAAGTATAATTATATTAGTATTATGAAGCAGGTCGCATAAAGGCATTAGTACCCTATATTTACAGTGGGTTATCACACAGGCTGAGGAAATTTGACCGAATATAACACATAATATTGTTATATATTTACATTAAACGATGTTATTAACATAATTGAAATTTTATTTTAATATTGCATCAGACATTATCGGTACTTACCGATAACATATATGAAACCTAGAATTTGTATACAATTATTAAGATTACTATAGAAGAAAAATAATATCGAAGTGTTCAGTGTTTTACAAGAAGGAAATTCTACAAAACAAAAAGTGCAACTGAATTCTAAAAATCAAAATTAATTCATTATTTTTTCATAAGTTTGTAAATGTAGTCTGATTTTCGAAGAATTACAGCATAGTTACTGTTTGGAGACATGTGTATGTAATTTGAATAATGCTTTTAAGCACATTTTAAATAGGATTTGAATATATTATACGTATATTAAATTGTATAAATTATTAAAATTATTACTTTTCAGGTTTCCTAAAAAATATTATATAACAATAGGGCTTTCTTAAAAACATTTTATAACCATAAAAAATTAATATTAATAATTAAATAAGAATATTTCAATTGGTTACAAATTATTATAATGTTTGTAGAGTATATAAATTAAAAAGTATTATAATCTAGTATGAAATAAAAGTTAAGAATTTTTAAAAATCCAAGAATTATATTTGAAATAAAGGAGATAAATGGAAATCGAAAGTGTCTTTAGGTTTAAATAAAACTGATTATATCATATAAAATTAAGTATTTTGTACGTTTGACATTGAGTTCTATTATACATTTATAAGGTTATTATAATTTGTATGCCATATGTTTGATCAAAATCTTTGCGTCCTACTTTAGATAGTCTATTTTTTAAACGTTTGTTCATCGCATTTAACGCGTCAAGCATAATTAATTTTTAACCGACTTATATAATGAAGCGTATAAAATAATATTTATGATTATTATTATTACTTAGTTCGTTAAACTCCAATGTTCTATAAAACAACAATAAATTGGAAGTTGAGAATATTATTAAGGTTAAAAAATACAACTTTTTTTTTAACTAAATATGGTTTGACAAAACGCATATACTGTATATATTGTATATACAACGTTGATAGATTATGAGGAATACATTTTAAATATATGCGAAAATTGAATTAAAATATTTAGTTTTATCTTATTTTAAATATCTAAAAATTATTTTTATTCTGAAGGTGTACTTAAAATATATAAAATCAGATGTGAATTAATAAGTGAAACAGTGCGATATACTAGACGTAATTCTTCTTTTTTATTATATTTTAATATTTGACTTTAATACTAAGTATTAATACATATATATTAGTTTTTAAGAAATACTTTTATGTTTTGTTCAAGAATATATGAGTTAGAAAATTTAAAATGTTGGCATCAAATGAGCATACATTGTGACCAAGACAATTTGATCAAGTATATTGATAATATTTTTAATCTGTAACTTTTGCAATCTAACATTTAACATAATTTCACAAGAATTTTTTTTTTAAATTTAAATATTTGTCAATTTGTCATTGGAAAATGTAAGCAGTTGTATAATTTATAAGTCAGTAGCTATTAAATAGTATTACATAAATACCAATTAGTATCTTAAATATAATAAAATAGCTTTAGAATTAAGTATGTAAACAAATGTCATACATCATACATAAGTCATTAATGCATATACACTATATAAATATATTGACAGTTAATATAGAGATTTTCCAACTAGAAGATTGAGTATTGTTATACAATTTTATGTGTGGTTAAAAAAAATGAAAGAGTTCAGGATACTGTAAGAGAAGGTTGAAGGAGATTATTATAATCTCCTTCAACCTTCTCTTACATGAATATTATATTCATCATGAGATGTAAATGATAAAGAAGAAAAATGTGTATGAACGTATAAATAATTTTCTATAATCATGAATATTTTAAATTTTACTTAATAATATTTATAGTTTGAATTAAATAAATTACATGGACATCGATTTCTAGAGAAACTCGTTTTGCATCAAAATCAAACTACCTTATCAAGTGTTGAAAAAATAAAACACTATCAAGACAAGTAGGAGAACACATGTACTAGAAGAAATTATTATTAAAATATCATTGACTATTGAATGGAAATTCAGAAATTTTAGCACCCGAGTTTGAAAACGTCACCGTAAGACTTTTTTCATTGGACCTTTATGTACAACAGTCATGATTACAGATTACTATGGTCTACTAAGAGCAAATAATAATAATTAAAATCATAAAATAGAAATTTTTAGGTAATATAGTAACGTGGATCTGTGTCAGGTCATCGCGTATACGACATCGCAGCAGTTTTTAAGCCATAGCGTTGTAATGTATTAATATCATAACATAATTAATTCGTTTTTTATTACTTACAAACAGTATATGACACTTGTAATAATAAATCGTAATCATACATTATTACGATCTGAAACGATAATATAAATTATTACCTATAGTTACTATAGAAACGAAAAAATTAAAAAGGAGTATCCTAACCTGTTGTTGTCGTCGTTCAATACAAACGTTATAAAAATACGTAAATTGAAGATATATGCCTGGAAATCAAAATCTAACAATACTTATGAAAACACAAAAATACACAACCACACGTTAGTAACTAATATTGTCTTATGATTTCCGAAAACTAGTTTAACACCATAATCATAAAAACAATATGACACGATATGATAATTTTAACAAAATTGCAAACTATATCATAATTTTTATTTGCTGCCTAATTTATTTTCAATAACTTACCTATAATTAGCTAGTAACTATATTTATAAAATATAAATTATTATTTTTTATTTATTTTTAAAAGTAGTTAATAATTTATAATACAATAATTCAATATTTGTAGGTGTATATTTTTTCTTTATTTTTTAAAGATTTTACTTTATATGTACTAATTATTTCACAGTAAATCCTAATGTCTTGTCAACGTCTATTTCCTTATAAATATTGTTATTTTTATATCATATGAGTGTTTTTGATATTTTTATTTATTTTTTCTTCTTAAGAGTACAAGTAGTTAAGAGTAACAAAACTTTATATTTATTTACAATATTAATAATCAAAAATGCTACCTTCGAAAGTTTAAATTTTGATGTAGATTTAACTGTTAAACAAAAAATCATACGAAATTTTTTTTA